GAAAGTTACAAAAAATGTTGTGCACACCGCCACGTGAAACGACGTTGTGCGCACTCAAAGCGAATTTGCGGACGCGTCGAGTATAAATCAGCCATAAATCAGCCTTGAGTGTGTGTGCGTTAGATACAGTGAAGACAGCGCGTTAGTTTAGAACTCTTGTAATTTTTTTTTTTATTGTAGAGAGTGTGTTAATTTGTGCAATGATAACCTACCAGCAATGTAAATTAATTTTTAAACCTATTAGAATGAGTACATTACAATATAAATTTATTAGAACAAGTACATTATTATTTATGGGCTTAAAAACAAGATGCAAACAATCAGAATATTGTACCTGGTGGGGAGTGCACAATGTAAACATGAAACATATGCAATTACCTATATTGTACTGTGGTACAGTTATGGAGGCTCTTCATAATGCAGAGGTCAGCTGCCTGCTCTGCCAATAGTTAGAAATGGCACTATAGTAAGCAGTGTTTAATAAACATTCTGCTGAGGTGAAATTCAGTGCAGTCATGTATCGTGATACGTATTGTATCGTGGCCTCTGTATCCTGATACGTATCGTATCGTGACTTTGCTGGTGATACACAGCCCTAGTCCTCAGTCGCTCCGGCTCCGCCGCGGATCTCTGGATCTCCGCCTCTGCCTCGGTCGCCAGAGCCCTCGGCTCCACCCTGGCCCCCTGGATCCTCGGCATACCCCTGGCTCGTTGGCTCTCCACCTCGGCCTCCTCCTCCACCTGCTCCGCCGCCGTTGGTCAGCCCCCTGGAGTCGGCAGCTATCCCTCATCCATGGCTCCTTCCACCGTCGGCTCCACCGTGGGCTGCTGTTATGGCTGTGGCCTGGGTCCTGCTGAGCTCCTCCTGCTCCGGATCCCTCCTGTCTCCTCCCTGGCTCCTCCTTCCTTCGTCGCCTCCCTGGTCTCGTTCTGCCAGCCTCCTCCCGGATATCCGTCCTCCGCCGAAGCCTCCACCTGTCATGTCTGCTTGCCAGCCCTCTGCCTTCCCCTGTCTCCATCCCGCATCCACTCCTTTGTCCTCCTTCTAAGTCCCACTCTGTCCCTCCCTCTGTCTCCACGGCGCGAGGTTGCGCCTTCCGGGAGGGGGGCGATCTGTCACACCCCTGTGGACTGTCGATTGTGGTTTCTCCCTCTGTGTCCTTATTTGGTTGTTCCTGTTCTCGTTTTCAGTTAATTACCCTCATTTTGCTCACCTGTCTGCCACCAATTATCCGCCCTATATTAGTTTCTGCCTCCTGTAGTCTAGTTTGTCGATTATTGTCAATGTCAATGTTCCTGTGAATGTTACCGTGGATGGTTTGTGTCTACCCTGTCTGGATTTCCTGTTGTTTATATCATTAAATATCCTTTATTTCGTCATCTTCGTCGTCCTGTCTGCTCTCTAGTACACCCTGCCCGTGACAATTATATTATAACTAGTGCTGTCAAACGATTAATCGCATCCAAAATAAGAGTTTTTGTTTACATAATATATGTGTGTGTACTGTGTATATTTATTCAAGAAAATTTTTATATTTGTATATTAAATATATAATATAGATTAAATAAATATACACATTTAAATACATGTAAATATTTTCAAAATATATACTGTATGAGTGTGTATTTATATTTACTTTTACTTTACTTTGTCATTTAGCAGACGCTTTTATCCGAAGCGACTTACAAATAAGAAAAAGTAATTAAAACTAAAAGCTAAAACTCTATGAATACTATATATATATATATATATATATATATATACACACATTTAAGAAAACGAAAGCTTTCTTCTTCTTAGTGTTTGACTTGTAAGTAGAGTTCATTGATACCATATTCCAGCATACAGTATAAACTCAGCAAAAAAAAACTTTCTCTCTCTCATATTCGTATTTGCTGCTTTTATTTCCAGCAAATTTCGTAACGTGACATGTGGCCAAGTATGGTTACCAATACTAGAAATTAGTGCTCTGCGTTTAACCCATCCTAAGTGCACACACACACACACACCATGAACACACACCCGGAGCAGTGGGCAGCCATTTTTGCTGCGGC